CCTAATCTTTTTCACCAAATCCTGTGTGTGTTAACTTGTACACTGAGTTTATTTGGCACCCTGATGACGAAAATCGTATTTATTTTTGGGGCCACCACATTTTCACCGAAACTGATAAAACTTGCATAATACGGTAGTTGGTCGCCTGGTCAGATCGTGAAGGTCGCCTTGGGAACCAGGGCCCTGGCTCTCCGAGATTTCGGGGGCTATTAGTTTGAGAGCCAGAATTTCCCCCCCAGTGCAGTTTCTTTGGGGTAGGCGGGTGGAAAGGAAACCAGAACAATTTTCGAAAGTGGGGAAGGTGGTAAATAGAGTGGGGAGAAGGGGAGTGCACCACCGAAGGAAACGGTGGGGGGTGTCGCACTGACGCATCCATTTCACACATTACGATGCTTTACGTTGTCTGCATTTCCAGTCGAGGTCGGCGAAGCCTTTCGATGAAGCAGCCAAACGCATGTGAGTATAAACTTCGTTAGACTGAGCCAGTCATATGGCAGGGAAGGTTGTTCGGGCCATGGTGAGCTTTTTGGAAACGGGTTGTTGCATTATGTAGGGGTCCATGCATGGACACACAGATGGGCTTCATTTTCGCTAAACACTATTTTGAATGTCAAAAAGCTAGTGAACAAAATTTGACAAGAAAGAGCGATTTTGACTATCTCATTCAGCTTTAGCGCCATTCTGGCCCCAAGTGGCCACGGCGCCGAAAGTCGTCAGAATCGTGATCGGGATGATCAACCACCCCAGTATCGAAGTTTCAGCAGAAAAACTTCTCGAGCTCTTCTGCTGTTGATGCATCGACCATTTGAAGGCAGCGACATCCAACTCTCACATCTCCGTAGCCGTGTAGGCCAGAGGCGAGACCATCGTCATAAATTTCTAGCCATTAGTGTACTGAATGAGCCCTTGAATGGCATGCATATATGTGGACTATATACATACCAATCGGATTACCCGGCTGGCGCCGGGTGCTCCTCCTTCTTTGTCACGGCCCGGCTTCGCCGGGCCGGCCTGGCTTCGCCAGGCACTCTTTCCTTAGGCGAGGTAGAGTGTGCAAAATACGCCTAACCGTCACAGTGCATTTTCCAGCAAAATGTAGAAAATAATTGAAAATAGCTCGAGCAATGGGTTAAAGTTGAATCTGGCCAGAGGATCGTGCAACATACAGCGCTTTGTTACTTCCGAAATTCTAATGACATCAAAAGAAAGAGCCTGACGCCCCTTATCCAATCTTATCAGATGCTGGCAGTTTTTGTCACCAACCTAGTGTTCCTTTCCTAAACCCTACATCGTATCTTGGAACCAACCTCCTACTGTTGCTGTGACTCGCGTGATGGACTCAGTGACCATACCCTTCTAACATCTCGAATCTTAGCAGCTGACAGTTCTTGTCATCCACCAATAATGTTCCTGTCCCATACCCTAAATCATATGTTGGAATCAACACCTGGCTGATGCTGTGACCCGCATTACGAATATGGTGAGAGTTCCATTCTGAGGCCTCTTATCAGATATTATCAACTGATATCAATCACTTCCTATCACCCACCAATAGTGTTCCCGTCACACCCTCTACGTCACTTCTTGGAACCAATATCTCGCTGCTACTGGGACCGGCGCTATGAATTTCGTGTCAAAGAGACAGACGCACACGCACGGACATAGTCGATTATATATGGTAGAATTGTAACCGTTGTCCCAATGTAACGCTGAAATCTATCCTTTTGTCCATTCTTTTCTCGGGGTTAGTACCAAAAATCTCCATAACCCTCACACGAAAATTCAGCAACCTGTAGAGCAGCCTTCGAAGCATCCTACCGCTCAATGCGTTCTCCACTACTGTAGGTTTTTTCTGGAATGCACTCCCGCATTCGGCAGTTTAACGCTTCGAATGGTCCTCTCTCGGTTGTTGATGGAAGATAATCATGGTCATAGTGATAAAGTTAGTTGCTGCAGTTCATGGCTGAGTAAACAACCGTCATGCATCTGAACTCCAGTTGCTTTAGCGGCCGTACATGATGTCGATAGCGGTAAGAGCATAGGAGTGAGTTGTGTACGAACTACTGAGAGCCTGATACCTGTCATATCAATCGCATTGTGGCAGTAAGCGGTGTTGCGGATTCCCGCATGATGACGCTTTCAACCCTTATCAGTTGCTGTCACTTAGTGTCACCGTCAGTGGGTTTCCGCCCTCCTCCCCTATACCACTTCTTTGAACCAAGGTCCCACAGACCCTGCAACCTGCCCTACAAAGTTGGTGACCCTCCGCATCTAAGGCCCCTTATCGAATCTTATCAGATGTTATCAGCTTCTGTCACACACCAATCATGTCCACTTCCCTTACCCTATACCACATCTTGAAATCAAGGTCCCACGGTCGCTGCAACCTGCGCTAAGAATTTGGTGACACCCGCGTCTAGGGTCCCTTATCGGATCTTATCAGATGTTATCAGCTCCTGTCAGCCACCACCCTACCGTGTATATCACTTCTTGAAATCACGGTCCCGCAGCTGCTGCAACTTGCCACGAATTCGGTCACCCTTCCCTTCTAAGGCCCCTTATCGAATCTTATCAGGTGTTATCACCTCCTGTCACCCACCAAAAGTGTTCCCGTCCTGCCATGTATATCACTCCTTGAAATCAAGGTCCCGCAGCTGCTGCAACTTCGCGCTACGATTTCGGTCACCCTCCCCTTCTAAGGCCCCTTATCGAATCTTATCAAGTGTTATCACCTCCTGTCACACCACCAAAGTGTTCCCGTCCTGCCATGTATATCACTCCTTGAAATCAAGGTCCCGCAGCTGCTGCAACTTCGCGCTACGATTTCGGTCACCCTCCCCTTCTAAGGCCCCTTATCGAATCTTATCAAGTGTTATCACCTCCTGTCACCCACCAAAAGTGTTCCCGTCCTGCCATGTATATCACTCCTTGAAATCACGGTCCCGCAGCTGCTTGCTATGAATTTCGTGACAGACAGACAGACGCACACACACACACACACACACACACACACACACATGGACATAGCCGATTATATTAGGTTGAGTCGATATGAATCGGACAAATTGACAAATTTTTTATTCAACACAACTACACCTACAACTTTATAACAACAACTGGGGTTCACTTGAAATATGCTCCATCTTCATCGATGACCTTCTGCCACCGGATAGGCAGATCGTGGATGCCCTTGCTCCAGAAGGCCGGGGGCTGGGCCTCGAAGAAGTTCTCGAGTGCCTTCTTGACGTCGTCGCGAGTTTTGAAGTCTTGGCCGTCCAGGTGGCGTTGGAGGTGGGAGAAAAGGTGGAAATCCGAAGGGGCCAGGTCTGGAGAGTACGGTGGGTGTGGAAGCACGGTCCAACTGTACGACAGCAGCTCGGCCTTGGTCGATCTTGCAATGTGCGGTCTCGCGTTGTCGTGCTGGAAGTAGACATGGGACCGCCGCCGTTGCGAATTTTGGACATTTGCCTTCAATTCTCGTAATTGACGAATGTAGACGTCGGCGGTTACTGTTGCACCTTCATCGAGCAGTTCCCAGTACTCTACGCCGTGTACGCTCCACCAAATACAGAGCATCACCTTTTTCGGGTGTGGACTGGGTTTGGGGACGTCGTTTGCGTCGGCATCTTTGTCGACCCATTGTGCACGGCGGTGAGAGTTAGAGTAGAGGACCCACTTCTCATCGCCAGTGATTATTTCGTCGAGCCAATGGTGGTGGCGCTTGAAGGTGAGCAACGAAAGTGCGACCTCGCACCGCCGATCCATGTCCCGCTGCGTCAGAGCATGGGGTACCCATCGACCGAGTTTCAGCACCTTGCCGATTGACTTCAAGCCGCGAACGACAGTAGTCTGACTCACCCCAAGAGCGGTCGCCATATCTTTGGTACGGATCGGCCTCCACCTGTTTCCGCAGCGAGTCCAAATCCAGCTCCCTCGGGCGTCTCGCATGGTCTTCGTCTTCGATGGAATAGTTGCCCGACGCAAACTTCGAATGCCACAAGTAGACTGTACTTCTAGCGGGGGCATGCTCCTTGTAGACTTCCTTTAGGCGTCTGTCGATATCCGCGGGTTCTTGGCCAGATAGCGTTAGAAAGAGTATGACGTTGCGGAGGTGGTCTCTGGACGGCTTGAAATCGTTTGACATGGTAGCGGAATAAAGCTAGTTTGAAGCGTTTGTTTGATTGCATTTTGAAGAGCTTTTCATATTCTTTCCAACGGTATCCCGCGCATCCATTTTCGTTCACTCGTTGCTGAGTTATGATCTCGGGAAATCAATACTACCATTTGTCCGATTCATATCGACTCAACCTAATATACAGTAGGATGGCACGACGAAACAAAAGAAGGTGGAAATCGGGAAAATGAAAAAAATGTTCTCAAGAGGATCCGACCCACTAGACACCATACGTCGAGAGTACGCTTCACTGTCTACGGACAACTACAACTCAATTCCTTTGATGGCGCCAACTTTCTGTTTCTGCGCTGTTTGCCTGAATGGCACTTTGTGACCACTCTGGCCTTTTACATTCATCTCTCACGCATAAGTGTTTATCCACCCCGAAGAAACTCATCTCCTAGCTCGCTTCATGATTTTTGTACCTTGCGTTGCCTTGGCAATCACAGTCCTTTATTGCTCTGCGCCCTGCCCTATCGCGGGCAGGATCTGTGCCAAAAGTTTTAGTTGTCGCGTAACCGTCACCTGAACGACCTCCCTTGCGAGAGTTTCTGGTTCGGTCTAAATAGGCTTGCTTTTGGTTTTTATTTCTTTGCCTGTTTCCTTATTTCGACAACCCCACCTCCTTGAAAAGCGCCGTGGGTGGCGAGATAGCAAGGCTTTGTTTGAAACGGGACGAAAGGAACCTCAAACTTTTTAAGGGCACTCTACCATGTGATAATAGTTTCCTCCTTTCTCTCAGTCGGAACTTCAATATAATTCAGTAATGGAATTTTGAAACTAGGCACCAAAAAGCAAAAAAAAATGCGATAGCGATGAGCGCCGTATGAGTGATTGTGGGTAATTTCTGTTGTTTCGAGATGGTTTCGGTCTCCCCTCAATAATAGGAATAGTATGATGTTGCCATTGTCTGGAACAACTACACAAGATTAATAAATTGTTAAGGTCTACCAAATGCACTAGGAGGCTACGACGAAACTCCTGAGGACATGGCTAAAGTTCTGAAGGAGTTTGCATTAGATGGGCTTGTAAGCTTTTAAAATGGTTGTTTCTCTGCGAATACGTGCTGCTGTTCAGAACTTAAGGAAATACTGATTATGATGTTATCATTGTCCTTGCACTTGAGGTAAATATTGTTGGCGGATGCTGTGGAACCACACCAGATCATATAGCGGCTATGGCAAAGGCTCTCAAGGTAATTCTGATTATGATGAATCAAACTATTGTTCGATTGAATTTCATAGCGCTTTCTAGAAGCACCTCGTTGTTTGAAGACTTTTGATTCTTCCACAATCCTCTACATCTTTTGTTGTGGTACTAGTCTCACAACGGGATACCGAGAGATCGATTTGGCCATCTCCGTGAGATTTGCATCGAAACATAGCTACATCGCAACGTCCTATCCGTTGTTACCTCATGCCATAACTATGCGGTTCCGAAAGAAATGCGGGGAAATTCGCAATGAGAGGAGGCCTCCCCTAACTTTTCCCAGAGATCGCTCCAATACGAAGGAACGTTCGCGCTGGGAAGACACCACCGTACCCACCCACTGCTGCGTACTGAAGCCCATCACGAACACATTTTTGTAAAGATGAAAAGTTATTATTAAGTCCACTCTGGCTACCTATCTAGGGTTTTTGACCTTCATACATCCGAAGTGGATATCTTCGTTGTGAGAGAGAAAATGCGAGGGCGGATAAACACCGTTCTTCACGTTGACAAACGTCGAATCTGATCAGCTCACAAGCGTTCGCTCTTCACACACTCCTACTAGAAATGGAGCTTAGCGGTTTAAGTAATGTCGACGACTGCACATGCTAATCTTCAATTTGTATGCCTTTTGCGGGCTTTCAGAATACTTTCAAAGCTATTTGATATGATTGACGTGAAAATGGCATTATTGTTATTTTTCTTAGACTTTTTCTTTCGAGAGAATGATGTGACTCCAAATATTTCCAGGGAGTGCCTCCACGTCGTCCATGCTCCAATCTATACGCTGGCAATATGCTACTCTCCGGTCTCGAGCCTATGGTCGTTGGACCTTTCACGAATTTTGTGAACATCGGCGAACGGTGCAACGTTGCTGGATCCAGGCGTTTCTGTAGGCTGATAAAGAACGAAGACTACGAAGTACGAGTGATCCTTCCCGCTCATTGAATGCTAAGTCTGAATTGATAAATTCCACGAAATAGCAGTGGTTGGTAAGGGCTCAGGGAAACAAAACATTGGTCTTTTGTTGTGATTTTTCCACCCATGTGCGTTCCTTTCTTTGTGTAAGTACCTCTTCATTATGTTAGGTGGAAGGACTACCGGGTGAGAGAGGTTTGCAAATGAGTCTGGTCTTTATATGGGCCCCAACGGAAGAAGGTCGGCTTTTAGTACAAATCTGTGAATCCAGTGATGTTGATAGCTCATTAAAGAGGCAGCAATATTGGCGAAGTCAGGCCTTTCCCCAAATCACAGTATCCTGGGCTTCAGTCCAGGTCTAAACCAAGCAGCACCGTAAGGAAAGTATTGTTCTCATTAAAGCAGTTGGTGAGAATTTTGTGAAAGCTTATGATGAACTTTGTGTAGAAAGTTAGTAGAACTAAGGCTAGTTGCGCTGGTGTCAAAAATGAATGTTGATCAAATACTCAGAGGAGTTTTTTTACTCCATCAGGGACCATTCGGAGCAGTCATAGAATATACCACGATCGCAAAATCATTGGAAAGCATTTGAACATTACTGGTTAGCATAATAATTTCAGCAAGCCATTGATGTCGCCAGACACCAAGTTGAAAGCGGCGCTCAAGTTGTGGACGTGAATATGGATGATGGCCTGCTGGACGGGCCATATGCGATGAGCAAGTTCCTGAGACTGATCGCAACGGAACCGGACGTCGCAAAAGCAAGCCCTTGCCTATCTGCTCTAATCAAAACGCTTTCAACAGCCATAATTTAGTTTTCTAGGTTCCGGTCTGTATCGACTCTTCTGATTTCTCCGTGATTATTGCCGGCTTAGAATCTATTCAAGGAAAATGTATTGTGAATTCGATTTCTCTCAAAGAGGGTGAAGAAACCTTTATCGAACGTGTGAGTATCGTCCTTTTCATCGAAAACTGCTGTTCCTTTTCATAAAAAACACTGTGTGTCTGTCAGCTGGCGTACTGCCTTACCTAGCTATCTCTTAGCGGCGCTTTATCGACAAGAGCTGAAGTCCCTTTGTCCTGCGTTTCCCTACATTGATTACCACAAATCAGCTTGTGTGCTAGCTCAAACGGATCTCTTGTTTTGAGGGTGTACCATGATCATTGCATCACAGCAATTGCAAGTTGCTTCATAAAATCGGTCGGTTTTTTCCATCGCTTCTCCTCACTACCCAGGATAGTCAAGTCAACGATGATGAAGGCCGGAGCAGGAAGAAGGATCCAAATTCACGACGACAAACATAGGAGCACACCCAATCCAGTTATGTGCTTTTTGTGCATACTGTTAAAGCCAGGCAGGAGTAGTGCTTTCCCGATACCACCAGGGCTACCGATTTCAAACTGAAAGAACATAATCGTTTGGCAAACATGGCCATCAAGAAGAGGAAAAGGACATGGTAGCTTTGTTATGATAACTGCTGTTTTACGCCGCAGTACGCGTTCCGAAAGTTATCACAAGAATGCTGAGTTATGGGCAAAAGTCGTGCCCCAGGCGGGAGTCGAACCCGCACCTCACGCTTTCCGGGCGAGTGCGCTACCCGGTCCTGGTGGCGTAAGGATAGCGCACTCACACGCACACAGAGTCTAAACCGCACCTCACGCCGGAAAGCGTGAGGTGCGGTTTAGACTCCCGCCTGGGGTTAAACTTTTGCCCATAACTTAGCATTCTTGACGTGGTAGTATGCGAAGCCAATGAATCATCATCGCCAAGTAAGGCCGTGAATGTTATGGCGAGGTGATGTGATTGCACCTTTGGTGGGTATCCTACTATACAGGGGGGGGGGCAAAAAAAAGACATTTCGACCGAGTCACATATCAGCAAAGTTTTCGCAGCCCAGACAGAGGACGTGGATACGAGTACCAGGGCGGAAGATACCCAAGATGTTCCTCTATAAGCAGGAGCTGGCTCTCGCCCATCACCTTCATGTACACCAAAATATGAAGTCATCTCCAGCCGCAACCTGACTGGAGAAGACCTTCGGAATTCATGTCACCTCCAAACAGCTGCGAAACTTCTAGTATGGAGTCACCCATGGATAGCTACCTGGAGAGCAGTACTCTCGATCTGGAAGACCTCCATCATCGAGCAGCTCCGTCAACGTCGCTACGGTCTAGGACATCATCTTCACCTCAGTCGCCAAGGCGCCAGTTGATGGTGGGGACCGGACGTACCTGGAATGGAGAGACCGATATTTTCTTCGTGGGCCCCGGACTAAAGGTGAGCGCTGGCGGTTACATTGGGCAACTCGTGAAGAATATCCTCCTCACATGTGGTCGCCCGTACCTTCTTGGAAACTTTGTACTGCTACAGCATTGAGTGCCACCACATGAAATCGAAGGGCGTTGGAGAAACTCTCTACTTGGAATGGAAGGGGCTGAGTACCTGAATAAGGTGGAATATCTAAGCAGGTAACCTGACCTAAACCCCTCAATTACCTCGGGCGGAGTTCAATAGGGTGGTCTACAGTGGCGGAGAAATCAACGATCTCGCTGAACTCAGGCACCCACTCACGGTCGCGTGGCATAATCTCTCGATGGCGCTCCTCCAGAAGGCTGTGGCGGAGTATCATTTGATGTGCTCTTTAATATGGTGGTAGAAATGTCCGATAATAATTTGATAAAGTGTAACTTATAGCGCCTCGAAAGTCGAGGAAGAAAAAAGTCTTTTTTTTCCCCCTTATATAATTCGCTAAGTGTGTGTGTGTGTGTGTGTGTGTGTGTGTGTGTGTGTGTGTGTGTGTGTGTGTGTGTGTGTGTGTGTGTGTGTGTGTGTGTGTGTGTGTGTGTGTGTGTGTGTGTTTTGACCGGAAATTCATAACTTTCTTCAAAACAGCGATAAAGCGCTCAAATTGATAAGTTATGTAGGGGGTGGGGCAGGAACATTATTGGTGGGTGGCAGGAAGTGATAACAGCTGATAAGATACCACGAGGAGCCTTAGAAGGAGTGAGTTACCTAATTCATAACACCGGCCAGAGCAACGACCGGACGTTGGATCCAAGCACTAAGATAGGGGGCAGTATGGAAACATTATTGGTGGGTGGCAGGAAGTGATAACAGCTGATAAGATACCACGAGGAGCCTTAGAAGGGAAAGGTCACCAACTCTATAACGGGCCACAACAGCGATGGGACGTTGGTTCCAAGAAGTTCAAATCAGGATCAGGATGGGACAATTATACTGGGTGGTAAGACGGCAGAGGACGCCCCCGAAGTTCATAGCACGAATTGTAGCAGCACTGGGGGAACTGCTTCCGGCAAGTCATTCAGAAGGGGTTACAGAGCATTCGTGAAGGGATATAAGTTGTATATAGTGTGAGAAAAGGGCTGATAAGCACCAGTACCTGTTCGCATCCTTACTGCTCAGCCTGAACTTGAGCACCGGTGCCCACGAAACAATGGGCAGAGGCTTATGAGTCAACTTATTCCATCCCTTAGCGATAGGGTTATGACTGATTCGACCGCTAAACACTCGAGAGTCGACAAAAATTAAAAGCTTTGGAAGCTGCTTAACGAAAGTACTAGGATGTGAGAATATATCACTATGGTGTCCATGTTATTACCATCGAAATTCTTTCAACCGCTAAGCTGTCCTATTTCCAACGAATGGTGAGTGCTCTTTAGAAATGTGATAAGCACCAGACATTAGCAAATGTTCATTAAACAGGAGAAACATAATGAAATGGGCCGTATTTCAAAAAATGGCGCTCGGGCCCAGTGTTCGGGGTCAGCACAGGAATCCTGTCAGCGATTAGTACCATTACCATAGATTCAACCATGCGCGCAGTAGTGCGCGTCAGCCAAGCTGGTATATGTTCAGTTTATATTCTTACGATATGTATTTCATTTCACAGTGACGTTTTCCGAATGTGGTGGGAGAAATTAACTGCTGACAAACTAAAAACAATTACCGTCTGGTGAAGCGGTGCTGCGGTTTTGAGTACAGTCGCGTTTCATTATATAGTCACTTAATTGGTTCCCCTACCCGTATTGCCGAGGTGCTGCAATTTCATAATGGAGGGGGAATGCATACGTGCACACAGGAAAAGAAACAGCGGGGTGTCACCACAGAGGTGAACTGGTCCCTATTCCAACTAAATATAGCTTGCTATGTATATTTGTTTGTTGTCTGCCCGAAAATTCGGTTCTACCTGAAGAGTAACTCGGATACGAGGGGGGGGGGGAGGTCAAGCATCCCACACAGTGAGTGTCTGCGAATTTTTGTCTGCAAAGTCGGCGGAAATGAGCAACTTCGCAGGCGATAATTCATAATTTGGCCCAAAGCTCTTATTCCGGTTCGTGTTGATGTCCAATTGAATCAGTTGTGAATATGTCTATTTACAAACGATCCCCACATGTGTATGAAGATTCTATGCTTTCCCAGATTGAATCCTCTTTTTTTGAAGGCTCGCTTAATCCGCAGATATGGTGCGGCCGTAGTTGTGATGGCTTTCGACGAGGACGGTCAAGCGGCAGAAACCCAACGAAAGTACGAGATATGCGAGCGCAGCTACAGGTAATCCCCCAATATCAATTATCGGTCGTGGTTTAGCGGCGAGGTGAGGCATTTTGCATTTCCGCTGCTTCATTAGTTCCGGTTTACAAGTCTCACTCTGGTGAAACCTGTGAACTCTTGTGAAGCTGGAGCAAGCTCGTCGAGCCACCATGGTAAAACCTGTCAACTCTTGAAAAAACTGTTAAAAAGCGTCGGCACGTCCATAGGAAGCAGCAAAATGTCTCCCCCCCACACCTTTCCCCGCCCCTCCCCCACCTACTCATCGCCAAACTGTCCCCAATTATCGTCGCAGTTACCACTTCTCTTCTTTCACACCTATTTTTCAGAATAACTTTGTTGTTTCTTTCATGGCTATTTAGTTCGTGTGAGATAGTTTAAGAACATCAGGAACAATCGAATCATAAAAACCCAATAATAATGTTGTTCTCCAGAATACTAACAGAAGAAGTTGGTTTCGATCCATGTGATATCATTTTCGATCCAAACATTTTAACCATTGCCACTGGTATGGAGGAACACTCTAACTACGGTGTCTACTTCATCGATGCCACACGCATGATTCGAGTGGGTTTTTCAAAGGCAATTGCATGCACGCTACGGGTTTGTAGCGCACAAGAGAGATTTGGGAGTCCGTGTGAACGGGTGTTACAGTAACCCATTGTCATTGGAGCGCGATGTGGCATTAGAGCATGATCGATAAATCCTTCAAGAAATTGGCCTTCAGTAAGGCAGAAACGAAGTGGGACCATTCTTGCATTGTTGATTTGGTTTTTACTACAAATGGAATTTGAAATTGTGTTATCAAGAGTGGAATCTGAAGTTGTGTCACCTGGTGTGTGAACGGTTCGACTGTGTTGGAAGTGATTTCTACCCAACATGATTCCGAATTTATGTAACTTGAGATGTAACACGTCATGAATACTTAAAGGCAGCGTCCGCGATCAACCAAAGTGAAAAAACCCTCCAATGAAAACGAACGCGGAGTACGCAACCACAGCGGAAATCCCACTCTTGCGGCTCGAAATCGATTGGATTGACGAGGGCGGAGTCAACAAGGCTGAGCTGACGCCTCCTTCCCTGTTAATCCCGCCCCGACTGGTTAACAGTTATCAGTGCTTGCTGGCATTGATAAACGCTAAGTTTCTGGAGTTCCGAGGCGGCGACGTGTATTGGAGAACTCACCAAAGGTCTGCGAAACTCGTCCACATGCCTTAAATTTCGTAGGGTCTTATTTCACGCTCTTCCACACCTTTTTCCTACTTTTTTTGATTAGTGCTTCATTGGCCACCTGTTCTAACAAATTTGACCCCTGAAACCTGCCAAAGTCCATCGCGGGCGCTGTCTTTAAGGTGATTTTTGTGTCGTAAGATGAGGTTTTAACAACCCTGTTTATTCAGTTATGTAGTTTGGAAAATTGCTTGTGGCGACTACAGATATGACCGGAGAGAGCTACAAACAATAACAACAAACAAATGTAACTCGTGTCGTGCCGGGGGCGGCTTCCAGTTCCCCTCATGCCTGGCGTCTTACCAGGTCGTCAGGCCCCTCTGACCTAGCATCGGTGTCTGGAGGGGAAAGGATCCGTCCTCGGCGCGAGGGTTTGCAGGAGGACTTACGAACGCTTGCCTATGCTCGTCACGGTGCTGCCACGCGGGTGCTAAGGAGCTAAGCGCTACCGGTAGGCCCTTACTGCCCCTGCGCTAAATGTACCCTACGGTCACATACCTACTACCCTTCCACCTACGCCCTGTCCTCACTCCCTACCTAAGGATAACTGCTCTTACGGGCGTCCCCTTATCACGCCATTGACATCCTACTGGGACCAACGACCTACTGCATCATGAATTGTACTATGAACTATGATAAAAACTGTGATGAATAAATATGTGAGAAATGATGTGGATCAACCACTCTTGCTACACAACAAAACACAAGTAATTATTAAGTTTACCACTCTACGAATATACTGTGAGCAACAATAATAGAAAAGGAAAACTACTAAAAGGAAAACTACTAAAGTAAGGTACGACCCCTAACCTACTAACGAACCCTGCCAGAGAACTGCCTACGGGCCACGAGGGTACAGCCCACTGGGGGCCTTGGACACACCCTCACCCTTGGCTGCCCAAGGGGTTCGGGTGCTCCTCCTCCTCCAGTGGTTACCTGGGATGTCTTCGTCCGGAGGCAGTGGTGCTTGCTGTCGAGTACGGCTCCTGGATATTGAAGTGTTGCCATTGCAGTCGGATAGTGAAGTTGGCATAAGGCGACAAGCGAAGGAGCGACCAGTCGATACGGCGGCAGACGTCGAAGTGAGAGAGAAGCCAGAGTCGGCGGCGACTCTGCATCCCTAGCGGCTTCCAGAGTGTTCGACCGTAGCCGCTAAGCGCGCCAGGACCGCCGCGCGCCCCATAACGCGACCCTTTAAAAAGAGTCGTACGAAAGTCACGACAACTCGAAATAAAAATAACTTTTCTCATCTCTTCACTCTTTTTTCGTTTTTGTTATGCTTGATGGGTTTTCTAGTGTTGCTACTGTTTTTGACTTGTATTTACTCTCGCTTGGTGATTTTTGGTCTCATTTTTGTCAAGAATCCTCTGTCTTTCCTATAATTAGTGATCTAGCATAACGTCCACTTTCACTCACTGGTAATCGTAGATTCGCTCATTTGTAGAATCTGTGTGCAAGTGGCACTGATTGTTAATAAATTGCGCTCTTCCTATGCAAAATACTGTGTTAGATAAACGCACGACAGAGATGAGAAAAGTTATTTTTATTTCGAGTTACATATTGTTTGTTGTTATTGTTTGTAGCTCTCTCCGGTCATATCTGTAGTCGCCACAAGCAATTTTCCAAACTACATAACTGAATAAACAGGGTTGTTAAAACCTCATCTTACGACACAAAAATCACCTCAAGTATTCATGGCGTGTTACATCTCAAGTTACATAAATTCGGAATCATGTTGGGTAGAAATCACTTCCAACACAGTCGAACCGTTCACCAGGTGACACAACTTCAGATTCCACTCTTGATAACACAATTTCAAATTCCATTTGTAGTAAAAACCAAATCAACAATGCAAGAATGGTCCCACTTCGTTTCTGCCTTACTGAAGGCCAATTTCTTGAAGGATTTATCGATCATGCTCTAATGCCACATCGCGCTCCAATGACAATGGGTTACTGTAACACCCGTTCACACGGACTCCCAAATCTCTCTTGTTTGTAGCGCTCACCCGAGCTCGTGTAAAATAGACTGTTTGGTTTTTGATATAACCAAACAATGTAAGGTTACATTCCGTAAGGTGTGGTCCACGATATGATTAAAGGCAGCGCCCGCGTTCAAATTTAATGAGTATGCGGCTCAGGTAGTAACAGCGAGGTAGCAAGAAGCCTATTAGTGAAGAAAAATCGAAGAGAAAACACGCAAAATGCCCTAGAAGGAGTTTCATACCGAACAACGGTTGTACGTGCTTAAGGCGAAGAGAAGGAGTGATTGCACGAGTTTCCACTTGTTCATATCAGCTGTTTTCCCTTATCACCTCACTCTCACCACTCCACGTGGAGAGAAGCAGCAATGGAACAACCGCACCATCAGGCAACCATTAGAAATGAAGTTGGGTGGCGTGGTCGGCAGGTGGGCGGAGCCGTCGGCTCTTTGCGGGCGGACGCCGCTGTTCCGTCGCATTTTTGGGTTGCGAAACATGCACGTCCACCATCCTCATAGGGGGAGCTACTAGATCCAGAGAGGGCGTGAGAACAACAAATGAACGCGGGCGCTGTCTTTAAAGACAATCCCCACACTCACCCGATTCGCAGGCGCCCTTTCTTGCACAAATAAGCTGGTCCTTTATCCTAAGACTATCCCACTGTCGCAACTTCCCAGTAAATAACGAAGGCGCTCTAGTCTTAATAAGTGACAGTTCTGCGCCTTTCTGGTTTCCCCGCCCACCAAATCTCAAAGGCTATTTTCTGTTACAAGTTCACTTGTTTCAGTTTGGTTTTTGTTAGTTCGTTATTGACTGCTAGGTGTATAGCACTGGATTTCGTGATGAAACGATTACAGAGCCAGAGGCGGCAGGATATCCCGTGACGTAAAACGAGCAGGTCCGGAGAATTCCCCCAAGGAGGCTGACAGATCCTTTCTTAGAGTACTCTCCATGGTCTTTTCTCTTGCTTTTCTTGTCTGAAGGGTCTGAAGTGTTATTTAGGGGATATAACTTGTAATTGAACATCACTATCCACAATATGCAGTGGCGGGATTTGCCTTTAACTCGAAAGTGAATCTGAATGATGCAGAGGTGGACTTCAGCCTGGTTGCTTCTACTTTTACCATAGAATTTTAGGAAGGAATCTGTCACCGACCCACATATAGGCATTTCCTGGCACAAGTCAGCTATTGCTACGTCAAGATCTGACTACAGGGTTATTCAGGATCCCAGTAGATCCAGCTTCAAAAGAACACAGATGGCGAGAGTGCTCCGCATTAGCGGCAGCGCCAAGATAAAGTGCCATATCCGTAACCAGGATGCCAAATAACCCTAGTGTGCGAGTTTTTAGCGACTGTTGCGAGGAAGGTGGCGGCAAGTGAGCGGTTGGTGTGTGATGGTGACCCGGCCAAAAATGAGCACGAAATAACCTTTCTAGGCGAAGTCGTAGAAGTGGCATAGTGTCGAAAGAAATGAGGATGGGCTGCATCACTCCCTTGTGAATGCTTACTCCTGCAACTGCTAGCAGTTTTTTGCCGGTGATTCATTGGGACCAAATATCAATTGATCCATTCATTTCGTGCCCAAACTTATTTTCAAGCTATGCCTTTGGTCTAACGAACATAGAACGTTGCGCTAGATTCTTTTGAAAGTAAAGTAATTAGTAATAATAGTTTGAAAGTAATTCTTCAGGAGAATCTGCCAGGATGTCACGTATCCGGTGGCGTGTCGAATATATCGTTTTCGTTCCGCGGAATGGAGGTCAGCTTCTTTATATTTTACCATTCCTCAGCGATAGTAGAAATTCCCTCTATATATAAAGCAGAAGTTGTGTGTGCGTGTGTGTTGTTGTGTGTGTGTGAGTGTGTTTGTATGCTTGCGTGTTCGCCCGAAAAGTCAGAACTACGTGAAAAATGACATTGAGAGACCAGGTCGACTTCAGAATGGGGGGGGGGCACAGGCCAAAATTTACCCGAACACTCAGAATCGAAGGTAAGCCCCGCCCACAATGGGCGGGGCGTGCACTGAAGTCGTTGTGGGACGGCATATTCGAAGAGGGAGGGGCATTTGTCTGGAGGTGAGGCGCGGCGCCAAAGTTGGATTCTTCGCATTTTGGACACAGAGCACTCCGCAAAGCGGGAAACCGGCTCGAGTAAGATGTGCGCTGACTGCTGCAATGGAGACTGTACACCTGAAGTGGGAGGGGCGTTTGACTAAGTTTGGCGGGCTAAAGTCAGATTTTCGCAGTTCGAACCCAGAGCAGCCATAGGTTGGGGAAACGGGCTCGAGTATGAAGTGGGCAGGCAGGTGAAGTGGAGAAGGCATGTGGGAGGGGCCTTTGTATGGGTGAGCGTTAAAAAACTTCTCAAACTACAGAATTACAGAACCTCTCAAATTGGTTCAATTAACTGAAACAAAAATTCGATTTTTTTTATAACTAAGAGAT